TGTGTGCGTGTGTGTGTGTGTGTGTAGAAAATACATTTTTGTAATATTTACTCAGCGCTTTGTTGGATTTTTGCGCCGTTGTTTGTTTTTGCCATTTGGGGTTCAGATTCAGGTTCAGGTTCAGGCTACGTTTCGGGCTTGGCTTCCAGCGTGCTGACGGATGGAGGAGTGGATGGGGACGGCAAGGAGGGGTTGCGTTCTCAATGGATAACTGTTTCGGGCAGGTTGCTTAATTTCTTTTTGTGTATTTACTTGTTGTTGTCCGCCGTGCTATGTTTGCCGTGCGTAGCTGAAGAAAATCATATTTTATTGTTATCGGAATTTAGTAGCTGCAAATAAACATCGATCAGCGTGCGCAGGAATATCCCAATGCAAGCGACGGCTTCGACTATGCCAGGACAACTTTGTGGCATGCCCAAGGCAGGCGGGGGGGGGACGAATGTGTTGCAACTTCCGGACAGCAACGGACAACGGCTAATGCCATAACTCTCTGGCCCGGCGTCATAAACTGGGTCACAGGCAGCGGCATTGTCAACGCTGCTGTCAGGCTCATCAGCTGCCTACCCCCCCCCCCCTCCCCCTCCTCTCCACAGTAACCCCTGTGCCTGACTGGGACAGCAGAGAACAGTTTGAATTGTCAGTGCGATTTGGTTGCAGCTGCCACTCAGCCAGGTGGCATGTGGCACGGGCCACAGCTCCGACTGTGCCCGGCTGCCCGGCATTGTTTTGATTTAGTAGCGCAAAACAAAACAAGAAAATTGAACACAAAAAAAATGAAGTAGAAGAGGAACTGACAGCAGAGCCTAACGCCACTCCAATGACAGCCAGCTCGCAGGGCCTCCAGCTCGTTGCGATATTTATGAGTTTCGTCTCTCAACTGCATTCAAATTGGAATTGAGCTCATTTTTTATGTAGCCCTTCGAATTTGTCATGCATCTGGTACAACGTCAATGCCATACGCTGATTTATACGCACAATTCGAAGCTAGACGAAGCGTTGAGACAATATATACCTAGCCCAACAATTTGCTGCAATTTAATGCAGAAGCTTCGCCCAACTCCGGGTAGCTCATAAGCCAGAATCGAATGAATCCGAGCATCAAATCTAACAAAGCATTTGAATTTTTAGTCCAACAACAAATAAAACAAAGGTCTAGAATGCAAAATGCGGTGCAAAGGTTTTATAAACGAGTTCTAAGTTCTGATTAAAGCTGAAGCACATGAAAGCTTTTGTACTTTGTTGCGCTTCAAGCTTAAAGCTCCTTATATATTCAGTGAGCTTCTCTTTGTAGCTTATAGACAAAAGCTTGGCCAAAATATTAAAGCTTTTGGATTATTAAGGTGCTTTCCTACACAACCCAGCAATCCAAAGCTTTTCATTTTGGTCCTTAACATACCTGAAAGCTTAAAGTTGATTTATCTACTCACAGACTTAAGCAAAAGATTATTGAGCTTTAATTCCGATTTAAATCAAGCAAAAGCTCATTCAATCAATGAATCATCGGGGCAGGCTTAAAGCCGCACAAAGCTCTGCAGCCAGCTGAAAGATTTCTCATACCTTGCGAAGGAGTCGGCTGGCAGGATCTAAGACTAAGCACTTCGCACACAACTCGCACAAGTCTTGAAACTTTTCATATAAATTACAACAATGCAATTTTTGATTTAAGCCAGGGGGAAATGTCGGGCGGGGGGGAATGGGGTTTAGAGGCAGCTTAAGTTACCATTCGAGCGTGCGTTAATATTTATTTAAAGCTCTCTAGCCTAATGCCACACCTTTACACACCTAAAGCCCACCTCAAAGAACACAATAGAGCACACACACACGCACACACACATAGTGGGAGGGGGGGAGTTGTGGCTGGGTCTTTTGTCGTTAATTTGAATGTAATTCGCTTGGAGAAATTTACATGATTTGCTTAACAATCAAAAAGTATTTCATTGTGTCGGTAAGAAGAGAGGAGAGATTGCCGTAAAAGGGTGTCGGGGGGCTGGGGCTGGGTCAAGTGGATTTTGTGTGTGCATATTAGTAAAGCCCGGTCGCAGGAATTGAGTTGTTCAATGACACGCCAAATTCATGTGCTCGTGACTCTACCGCCAACAAAATATTGCCTAATCACTGCTCGGGGAGCAGAAGCTGAGGCTGAAGCTGAGGCGGAAGCTGCAGCTGTGGGCGTGGGAATTTTCACGAAGGCAACGTGTACGTGTCCGGATCAGGGCACAAGGCACAAGCCAGGACGCCGAAAGTAGCCGCAAGTAAAAGTTTTTGGCCCCGTCCATTTGGTCAATTTGGGCCAAAAGAAAATTTGTAGGCTATAGAAAGTTTTTCACAACGTGCGATGCGTCGACTTTGACATTTGTGGTGTGGGCTGCGAGCTGTGCGGATTGTGTGTGGGAGAGATTTTAGTCTATCTCTTGTTTAGTTGCCAGCGGCGAGCTGTACGCGATGGGCGTGGCATGTGGCAAAGTTTTACGTGTGCCTGCCCCAAAAAATAAACAGCAACAATGGCAAGTGGCAGCGGTTAAGTTGACGGGACAAGAAGGCGGGCAGGCGGAAAGGCGGGCAGGCGGAGAGGCGACTGGGGTGTGGCATCTAACTCGATATAGCTGGCAAGATAAAGCGTTGAAAACTTCGAGCCAGCGGCTGTTGGGCAAGAGAAAAAACAAAGCACAGTAGAAGCAAATAAAATACACTGCAAAAGCACACAAAATGAAAACAAATTGTGCACTATGAAGCACACCCCCATCTAACACATTAGGGGTATTCCAGAAGAACAGAAAAAAAAAGAGAAACATTAAATTCTATTAAGACAATACATTTATTTATAAATGTTGCCCATCGATAACAAATAATCGATATACACGCGATATTAAACCTGCAAATACTCTTAAGATAATTTTAAAAGCTCTTTTAAGTACTTTTTAAAGCTCATTGAAAGCTTAATTTCAATCTAAAAGCGCCTTGGCTCGTAAGCAGCCAACTTTGAGCTAGATAATGTATACTTAAAGCTGGATGAATCTCAAGAAAATGCCTTCTTAAATATTATTCAACGCTGGCTTAAAGCTCACCATCAAGTAACTTAAGGCTAGATTTCATATAACTTAAAGCTCGTCCCCAGCTAAGTTTTAGCTTGCTTTCGTCTAACTCAAAGCTCGCTTTCAGCTTACTCAATGCTCTCTTTTAGTTATCGCAAATCTCGCTTGAGGATAGCTTAAAGCTCACTTTCTGTTAACTTAAAGTTTGCTTTTAGTTAATTAAGACCTGTCTGCGCTGACTTACAGCTGGCTTTCAGCTTACTCAAACCCCAATTTAATTAAACTGAAAGCTCGGTTTAAGGTAACTCGAAGACAGCTTTCAGCATACTTAAAGCTCGCTTACAGCTAGTTAGAAGCTCGCTTTTAGATTACTGAAAGCTCGTTTGTCGCTAACTTAAAGCTCGCTTTAAACTTACTCAAGCTTTCTCTAAGCTACAGTATGACTAATAAAATTCTACCTAAAGCTCGCTGAAAGCTTAAATTAATTCATAATTTGTCACTCAACCCGCGGGCAGCTCTCGCTCCACGAGCTTTTCACTTCCAGGTAGCGAGTACCCCTAATGCGTTTGTATAGCCGTAGCCAAAATTGAAATATTAAGCCATACAAATCAGGCAACTTGCAGCAGCAGCAACAAAATGTGGAAGCAGCGAAAATCATTCGACACGCGCAGCATTTAACGGCGGCAGCGGGCCGAGCGGAAGCGGAAACGGAAATAGAGCAAAGGGCTGCGTCAGGGACGATTGAGGCGGATGATAGCAGCACGCAAACAGTCACGTATATGGCAAAGGGGGCGGGGCTGGTGCAGGAGACGCGCTTATTGGCGTTGAGCAACGCTTATTGGCGTACTTAATCCTTTTGGCAAATTCCAATAAATTACCAGAACAGGACAGGACAGGCTAAGGCGAAAGCCAAAGCAGAAACAGCCAGAGGAGTTGGCCGGATCGGTGGTAAAACAACAGCAAGCGGGGCCGAGAGGGGAGGAGAAGAGAAAAAAAAAAAAAACAGAAAAGACAAACATCAATAGGCCATGATGAGTTTCTGATTGCAAAGGCAGCAAAAGGCAGCGCAGCGAGGGCCAGCCCAAAGGTCGCCTCCAAACGGACTGTAGATGATGTTTCCAGGTCGAAGGGATTGGTGGTTGGGCGCGGGGCTTTACGCTCTGAGAAGGATGACGGTCGTGTCACATGGCTTGACTTGGCTGCCTTTGGGGCAAGTCATAAAATTGAACAGACATTTTATGGAAGCTTGGGCTTGGGGCTGGCTGGCACTGGCTGCAAAGTTCAATTGAAAGCCCAAATCCTGGCCAGGCTCGCTTTGCGTACTTTTGTCTCTTATCTCTTTGACTGCTTACCCATAAAGCGAGACCCACCCCCCGCCAACTCCCATCTCCCAGCTCGAGCCGTGCACACCTAGCGCTGTATTTTATTGTAAATGTTTTGCATATTTTTGATTACCCGAAAAAAGAGCACAGCCAACGAGTCGAGTTTGACCCAACTGCTCAATACTCTATGCTGCCTGAAATATGGACTCTAAAACTGTAGTCCATAAAGCGCAATGGCTTTCAAACTGTGCGGGCTCTAAGCTGAACTACAACCCCAAAGCTCTGGAAGCTAAGCACCTGGATCTTCGAGGCTTACCTCTAGGGTTAGGTTAAAAAAAAGCTTGTGAACTTTTGTCAAGAGATCTTCTATATGAAAACATTTGGAATATTGCCAAAAAGATATTCGAATTGTGTATTTTCGCAGAGCCTACATAGTACTAGCTTAGCTAGCTATCGATAACTCAATAAATATCGATTCTTTTATATTTTCTTTATCACCTCTTGAGCTGAGAAAGGGTCTCAAAGGGTCCCAAAGCTAGATCCTTGGCATGCCACAAAAAAGACCTCAAAATGGCTTCAAGATCGGACTATAAAAACCGAAGAGCCCATTACTCAAAGGGCAGACCCAAAGGCAAAAGCAACTGTGTAAGTTTTTCTGTATGCATTTATGAAAGTAGGATAGGATTTGTAAATGTTCAAAGCAGGGTATCTGCTAGTCGTGCAGTGCCGACTGGCGCAGAGTAAAATAATAAGTTTATTTGTTTCATTTCTGTTTTTCTTCTTTTTTTTCGGTCGGCTCTTCTCCCTACCGCTGCTACTGCTCGCCAGCCAGCTGCTTGCCCTCGTAGAAGGCCTCGTCGATGCGGCGACTGTGGGCAATGAGGCGCGGATAGCCGCGCACGGTCTCCGCCAGCATGGAGCTAACCAGCTGGCTGGCCAAAATGGCGGCCACATGGCCAAAGACAAGGGCATCCAGCTCACAGAGCTGTGCACCGTACAGATAGCTGGCAATCAGCTGGGAGTCGGTCTCCGTCTCCACCTGTTCCAGCTTGTCGCTCAGCAGCTGGCAGCACTGCTGCAGCTGTGCCCGGACAGCGGCAGTGTCCAGTTCGTGCCACTGATAGACGCGCAACAGGCGCAGCGCCTGGTCGCGTTTCTCGTGCCGCCGGATGCTGCTCAGTGGCCAGGGATGTGCGGCACCGTTGCGCGGCTGCGTGTGACTGGCATAGTTCTGTGGCTGCAGATAGCACTGATGCAGCTCGGCCAGGGTGAATGTGTTCTCCGCATGGGTGACCATGCTGCGCATATCCTCGCGCTCCTCGGCCGACAGCCAGGCGCTCAAAGCATGCGACAGCTGGGTGACCTCCACATGGCCCACAATCGGCACGAATTCGGTTAACAGATGTCGTCCCAGTCGCAGCAGCGGCAGCTTGGTCAGGCGTCCGCCCGGTGACATGAACTCCGCATTGTCGCACTGCCGCTCCGCATACGGTAGCCGGCACATACGCAGATATGTCTTCACAGCCAGGCAACTGGCGCGTTCCGGCAGCAGCAGCTGTGTCTCCTCCGGCGGCTGATAGAGGTGCACATCCTGCGGCCAGGGCAGGCTCTCGCCCAGCGTATCCTCCGGCATGGACTCGGCGGCGCCCAATGTTTCACCCAGCGCGTTTGCCACATCCATATCCGTTTCCATGTTTCCCTCTGCTTATGATTGTCTACGAAATTTGGCTGTAGTACAAAAAAAAAATATGTGAATAAGAAAGCTGTCGAGCTCTCTCCAAAAAGCAAGTTGGCAGCGCCTTCAACTGCTTCGATTACGCGGCCGACTTCGATAACATTTAACATATACGCTTTCCACAAATACTACAGGCATATTCCAGTTGAATCTTCGATTCAAGTGTGTAGCAGGAAGCCTGCAGGCATTCCTTCGATTTGTATACCCCATTGAAAATGACAGCCAGCAGGCAGATGGAAGCATCAAGCATTTATATGCCTGATTACGACAACGAGTTGAGTTGGGAATATCTACCTTATTATTCTAATTAGAATACAGGCCCCCTTAAATATGCATTACTCTGTATATGCATGGAAATGTTGCTCTCTAGGCTCTGGCCATTGCCATTTGCGCCTTTATCAACGCTGCAATTAGGAATTTCGTTTGCTTTTAGTGCTGTCAACTTTGTTTTAAATTATCGATAAGACGTCGATTGGCAGACATGGACAAGCAAGTGAATCGGCCCCGACTAGAAGATGCCCTGCAACCAACATCATGGCTAATGAAGTGAGTTACTTTTGACGGGAGTCTACATTCTACTAAATCCCTGTCTCAAACTCGAGATCTATCGATATTGTAAGAGTCTAGGGTATTTATCGATAAGCCTATTTGGATATCGGAGAAAATTTATTTCCGATTTCACTTGATACTCCGCCCATCTCAACTTTATAGGGTATCCTGCGGTCAGTCACGCATATTTTCTTGAAATTATTATGCCCTTTCAAGGGCTTCGGAGCGCACCACGGTCAATATTAAATATTCCAAGTGCTGTCCTTTAGCTAGGCTTCAATTAGCCACCGAGTTGGACCTGGCACTGACAATTAGACGGCAACTTTTTGGCAGGCTCGAGGCGTTGCCGGCGCGGACTGTCAACGCCTTCGCATGGCTTGCCTTAGGTTGTCGTCGTTGAGGTCCTCGTCGTTGCTGTTCTGTCAACAGGCGCTAACCAAATTCACTTTGCCAGAGTTGGCTGAGCTGGCAGAGGGGTCTGCTGCATATGCCCTGCTTCAATTTGGCAATTAATCATTAAGGGCGCCACCTGCCGGCGCTGGCGGGCAACTTTTGCCTAAAAGGTTTAGCAGACACCACTCGAAACCGAGTCCCCTTCTGGCTGTTGGCCCACGGCGTCTTGGCTGCCCACAAAAAAAAAAAAGAAAAAAACACACCAACCTACTCGTGCTCTGAACTTGAAGATGATAAATTACACAAGCGGAACATTATGTAATTTCAGTCAGACGAAAGCCCGCAACCCTACAACCCCTACCCCTCACCACCACCCCTCCAACCAGCTCAGCATTGAGAGAATGCTGTCGAAAACCCGCGTGTGTGTATGAAATGCAAGTTTTCCACTTACTGTTTGGCGCTCCTGACAGCAACGCTTTCAAGGATCATCTGTTTGCCAAGTGCAGGAAAGGAGACTGCCTTAAGTGGGCTTCAAGCTCAAATATTTAAACACATTTTAGCTGGTTCCAGTGCCCAATACGAACTCGGCAAGAAGTCCTACTTCCTGTCAGGAAACTGAAGCAAGCATATTCCAAAGTATGGATAAGGTTTAAGAGATTCTATAAAGATTCAAAGATTTCATAATATTCCAATTGGAGATAGGTAAGGTGTAAGGGATTTTAATTAAAGTTGGGTAAGGTTTAATAGATTCCACAATATTCCAATTGATGTTGGATAAGGTTTAAGAGATTCCACAATATTCCAATTGCGGTTGGGCAAGGCTTTAAAGATTCCACAATATTCCAATTGGAGATGGGTAAGATTTACAAGAAGCCATAATATTCCAATTGATGTTGGGTAAGGTATAAGGGATTCTAATTAAAGTTGGGTAAGGTTTAAGAGATTTGGCAATATTCCAATTGATGTTGGGTTAGGCTTTAAAGATTCCATGATATTCCAATTGGAATGGGCGAGCTTTTGATGATATCATGATGTTTCAATTGGAGTGGGTGAGCTTTTGCCGATATCATGATATTCCAATTGGAATATGTGAGCTTTTGCATGTACCATGCTGTTCCAATTGGATCGGATAGCATTTCGAAGATTCTGAAATAATCCAATTGGATTTAGGCAAAGGCATCGACTGAAGATTTCATTTCCGAAATGAAAAGCATCTTTTATAGTAAGGACTTAGAAATTTACCTTAGCCAGTATTCCTTGGGAACGTTATGTCTTCCATTGGGTAATCCTAGAGAGAAGTATTCCAATAGCTACGTCTTCCCGGCCATTGCCATGTTTCGCTGCTGAGCACATAAGCTCGACAGTTGGCAGATTTGTAAGGCGACTTTTCATTGTGTTTTCTGGCCAGCTTTACGGGGCCAGGTTCTAGGAACTTATTACAGCTGCTTAGAGCAGGCCATATATCATCTCCAGTTGGCTTATTATTTCGCTTTGTAGCTAATTTAATGTTCAATTAGGACTTGTGTATTCGCATTTTTGATGAAGTCTGTGGGGGCCGGCGTGCAGCTGCCTTTGTCTTTGGGCTTGTTTCTTGTCTCTGTCGCTGTGTCACTTTGATTGATTCGCCGGGTTGACCGAGCGAGGGGTACGGAGAGCCTAATTTCTAGGCTGATATCAGTCTTGGCTTTGCATAGACTTCTTTTCGGGCTGTTGAGCATTGACAAAGTTCATTGTGCTGGGCCAAATTAATTAAGCAGCCGCTGGAGCCACTTGGCAGCACGGTCGGGAATGTGTGAAAGGAGAATGTGAATGCGAATGTGAATGTAATTGTGAATGGGAATGAGAATGTGAATGGGAATGTGAATGGGAATGTGTGTGGCAATGCGAATGTTCGCTGAGCAGGTGGCGTCTCGGAAGGATGCTCGCTCCGCGGGTTAGGGTGGCCCATGGTGGCCCGGTTGAGACGTCGTTTGCACAAAGCCAACAAAAGGCAACAATTCTTAGCCACTAATAAAGAATAATATGAGTGCCATAAAACTCAATTTATTACCAAAATGTCGACAAGCAGCGCCGTCGGAATGCGTGTGTGCGTGCGTGTGTGTGAAAGAATAACGACTCTGCCAGTCGGGCAGCAGGGCAAGCTGTCAGGGCGAGCTGCGGGGCGGGCTGCGGGGCGAGCTGGCAAATATAACCAGAATTTCATGCTACCATTTACTACCATTTGGCCAATTCCTATTTCAACTTTCAGCTTTCATTTTAATTCAAAGTCCCCCTTTTTTTTATTTACATTTCGTTCGCATCGGGCGACTTCTTCCCTGTGCTTCGATGAGAGTACCCTACGATTCGGTTTCATGCACTTCAGCTTTTGCAAGCTGCAAACGCTGATCATAGCAAGCAGCTTATGTCTGCAAAAGGCCTACAGCGCGCAGCTTCTCTCTCCCTTTCTTCATCGCGCTCTCTCTCTCTCTTTCTGCCTCTGTCTCTCTCTCTCGCTCTCTATAGATATCAATCAGCTTTTGTATGCCATATTTACGATCTTTCTACATAATTGATTTGTTTCATTTTAAGGGCAAGCTAGGTTATATTTGCTGTTGCATGGCATTCAGCTTTTGTTAGGCCCAGAAGCCCCGTTACTGTGGCTCAGATCGATCAGCTTTTGTTTGCAGCTTAGTTCTAGCTTAGTTCTAACTAAGTTTTATTTAAACCGATTTGTTTTTATATATTTTATTTATATCTCATAGCAATTAGCTTTTAGGGACGATGCACTCTTTCAATAGGTGATCCTCCCCAGTTTGTTTAAAATCAAACTAATCTTTTAGAGTTATCTCATAGTTGTTTAGGCTTCAAATCCATCTTTTCCTGATTCTTGAATTCCACATCGCAATCAGCTTTTGTCTTTTGCTTGCAATTCTGCGAAGACGTCTTTGACTTCATATGGCAAGCAGCTTTTGTCTTCTGCTCACCAGCTACCCTTTCCCTTCTTGACGTCTGATAGCAGCCAGCTTTTGGCCGACTGCCTGCTATATCTGCTCGATTGATGCGAATAGGGTATTTGCCGGCTGTTGTTGCCCCATTTCGCTTGACCCGGTCCATTGCGTTTTATTTCTTTGTCGACTTTTCGTCTTTGTTTTGCAATTTCATTTGCCATTTGGCTTCTTGTTGTCTACCGTTCATGCGATTTGTTGCTTTTGTGGGCCATTGCCCACTGGCCATGCCCTGTTGCCAGTTTCTGGATTTGTTGCCCAGCTGTTGGGCGCATTTGCCGGCCGCTTTGTGGCCACATTTTGGCCGAGTTCTGGCTCTGGCTCTGGCGCTGGCTCTGGCAACGGTGAATGCGCCCAAATACTCCTAAATAACTGTTTGAGAGCTAATACCCAATTTTAAATAGTCCCCTGCAGCGTTGCATTCCGTAACCATACAAAAGCTGATTGCTCTGCACACAGCTGAAGGAAGCATTTCATATGCTTCTGGCACCTAAGACTCTTTCTAATCAGATTCACATTTGGCACAGCATTAAACGAACTCAATAAGCTTTTGAAGACTTTACGTTTGAAAACTTCATCCACAAACAAATCGTTCCTTAATCTCAAGAAGGGCTTGAGATAAAATTGATTATTGCAAATCCAAGAGAAAAATGGTTTAATTAACAAAGCAAAAGTTACGCGATTAAGGATAGAGGCTTAAAAAGGAATGGCAAAAATAAATTTAACTGGAACGAATGTGGAAAGAGAAGAAAGAAAACTTAAGAATAAGCATAAAAACAGAGAAAGTGAGTGAATGGATAGACACAAAGAGAGAGCGAGAGGGAGAGAGCGAGAAAGAGAGAAGAATAAGTGTTGAAAAGTGTTAAGGATAGAAGACTGAGCGAAACAGAAAGAAAGAAAAACTTTTCAAGGAGGCAGAAACAATTGAACGCCAACAGGATTTAATTTTTATGGACTACGATAAACATATTCCAAGGAACAAGAAATTCTCGGGCCAAATCTTTGGTTGCGCGGCATGCAAATTGGTAATTTGCGGAGCGACCCGGCTAGAAATTTCCAAAGACTATATATTTCCTGAGGGTGGAACAGGGCGGAACAGCGTGGTGTGTGGCGAGGGGCAGGGCAGCTGCTAAGA